GACGCGGTGTGATTCTGGTTATTGATAATTGTTTGGCGGTGAGATTCATGCCTGTAGGAGTTTTGCAGTGTTTGTTGATCGTTTTTTACGCGGTCGATCTCCTCAATGGACTAAAACTTAACTAACTATGCTCAATACTTATCAAACACATTGTCGATGAAATCACATGATTTCAGTTTCACGAGTTCACGCGGCATCATCGGAAGGGCGAGGTACTCAATTGCCAGATCATTGCGGTTGCATTCAATCTTGACGCACGTCATCTCGTTCGTTGATTTCAATGTGAACAAAGTTATTTCTTTCAAAATGAATGTTCTGCAAGCCACGTCTAAGTCTTCCAGCAGAGCATGAGCTCATGAACATTGAAATTGAATGTGACGCTCCACGTTGTCGATTGTAACTCCAAAGCGCTCCACATTGCAATGTTGCTCAAACGACATGTTTTCAAATTCTAAAATGACGTCCAATTGCTCAATGTCTATTGATAACATCAGGCAAGCATTCAATCTCAATTTTTTGTTGTGACAAAATATGATTCGAAGATTGTAAATTTATAAAAGTTACGTTCACGTGCTCAAGTAATGGTCGAACCGTGGCTGCCTCATCCACCATCCCTCATATGGACCACAAGTAGGATTCTTGTCATCAATTCAAACCAAGAGACGACGGCGGTGTTTAAGTATCTATGATACAATGCTCAAGTTGAGTTCATCGATTCGTATCTTTCAGACACGTGTTTTTCATTTCCAGCTGTAAATTCTGTTGGCGACGCACATGAACGTTGCAATTGTGAAAGTCTTGTAAAATAACTCATCATGCATCAAACGATAACAGTTTTTGACAACAAAATCGATTTGATGAGACGCATATCAAATTGAAGTCGGTCTCCGTGTTGATTGGAAGTATTGCATCAAGAATGCGTTGGATTGTGCATTACACTAGGTGATCAACCTTGTACTCTTTTGATTACAACTTCAAAGTCAAGTCCGTTTGCTGCAAATCTATAACTGCGTGTGTTTCAATACAATTATGTTTCATAATGCAATACTCAACTACTTACAATATCACTTTGACTAAGATAACTTGCAGTGAGCAATTATTTTCAAGAGTTAACAAAAGTTCATAGTAAACTCTACTTGTAATCCTCATGCAAAACTTACATAGTAGCACAATGTTTTCTAAAACTGTTCAAAGAAATAATTCGACAACAACTTCAATAAAACGAAGTAGGTAGCAATGACCATCATATATTAAAAAATGGAGCTCCTTCCACAAGGTTTTGGTCAAAGTATGAGTTTGATTGAACTTATCGTTAATTTTGATTAATTTAATACTTTTATCACACATCACATTTCTAATAAAGTGAAATCTGATATCAATATATTTCACCATGTTGTTCATCGCTTGATTTGCAATAAAATGTAACGCAATTTGACTATCACAATGAAGATTGTGATCACATTGTTTCAATTTCATCTTTGTGATGAACTTATTTAACCAAATAACTTACTTTTTGCATCTGCTATCGTTAAAAATTTAATTTTCTTTTTAAACTACATTATGCATTTTTTCAAAATAGATTCCCAACTGATGCATCCACCACCAAGTGTAAATACATAATTAATCGTAGATTTTTTTTATTCAGATCTTGTCCATAGAAAACATCAATGTATCATAGCAAGGATGTAACATTTTGTAATAAATCATCAAACAAGTTTTCATCATACTTAATACTCTTTAGATACATGAGAATACATTTCACCTCTTTTCACCATGGATTTTTCTTGCGTGACCTTGACATGCTCATTGCTAGAATAATATCACACCATCAAATACATTAAGCTTTCCATAGTTTTTTCAGAAAACATTGATGACATTTTTTCTTTTTCAATGATATTGGTTGGATTTTGAGGTACACAAAGTTTGAACTTGTGATGCCAAAGAAGACAATATTTTTTTTAGAGCCAGCCATGTTAAATCTTTCAAGCACTCATTGAAAGTGATTGACTTAATCATATACTCTTCTTCATCAAATCTCTATGAATAATTGATTTCTAATATTTTTTAAAACCTATCCAAATTTTTCATCTTCAATGCTGACTTCAACTACTTCTTGCTAGTGTAGAAGTGAGAGTGTTGTTTGCCAATATGAACATGTCATCCATGTAAAGTACTTGAATAATAAGATTGAAGTTCTGATTATCCACTTTCTTCTTATATATATACACAAGTATCATACACATTTCGTGAAAACATACATACTTTCATGAACTCATCAAATCTAGCATTCCATTATCTAGAAACTTGTTTTAATCCATATAATGATTTCAGCAATCTAAAATCAAATTCTTTTAACATTTTTTTCAAAGCCAACTGTTCGTCTCATGTATATTTTTTACTCTAGAACTCCATAGAAAATTACAATAACTACAATTCTGATCCATAACAAAACAAAATTTTGTTGCAAGTGCATACACTAGACTAATTGTAGCATATTTTGCTACATCTGAGATTTCTTCTTTATAATTTAGATCTTTCTCTTGTTTAAAACATCTAGCCACCAACATGGCTTTGAAAAATTTCTTCTTGTCATGCTTTTAACTGTACTTTAGCTTGTATATCCAATTGTAATCAATCGAAGCTTGATTATTAGAAAGCTCCACTAGCTTTCAGCTCTAGTTATCTACTAGAGATTGCATCTCTTGCTATATAGCAACATTTCACTAAAACTTATTGATAAAAACTTAAGTTACTACTAATAGCGAGTCTTTGTATCAAGAGACCATGAAACGAGGTAATTTACAAACCCCGACATATGTCAAAGACGGTTGATTATTGTTTAAGCTGCCATGGCCTCAAAGTTTCAACAATCATACTCTCTTCATGCCAAAAAATCAATTATGTCAAAAATGGGCAAAGATTTTGCTTTGATATCAATTGTAGTAATCAAAGTAAAAAATATCAAAAGAACATAAAATAAGCAGGCTTGACGCCAATAAGTAGATGATTTTTCTCTTGCTATGTTCACGGCAACATCATACTAACAAGATTTCAAAAAAAATTTAGGCCAAGCTACGTCTTGTACTCCTATGTAGTTTGAAACAGAAAATTCTAATCTATGAAAGAACTTAAAATATGGATTATTTTGATAACTCCTTGAATTGAGTTATTTCTAACATATTTGAAATTTTTTTTAATTCTTGTAGTTTGTAAAGGATTGAAATATACATATTTATGGTATAATTCTTATTTATTATTTATTTAAACCACTATTATGCCAATTTTTAATTTTTAGAATAATATATTCAATAATTTTACTAATGTTATTACATGTGCGCTAATTCATTTTATTTACATAAAAGATTTCAAAATATAACCATATATGCAAGTAAGAATTTTTTTGGTGATAATTTTGAATGTAAAAAAATGAAAAAAGAACTCAATTTCCTTTTAGATGTCAATATCTGAAAGAAAGAAAGAAAGAAAGAAAGAAAGATATATATAGACATTTACTTATTTCTTTTGTTATTTCATAACTTTAACTTATCTGCATAAAGATAAAATAAACGGTTATCAGGTGATTAGATTGTCTTAAACCTTATGCATGAAGCATGCAATCAATATTGGAAAAAATCCATGATCATGATTTCAATTCTTTTCTTAATCTTATAAAATTATTGAAATTTTGATTATGAGATTGTCATTTTGAAACTATTCTAGTATTTCAAATTTTCAAATTTTCAAATGCCTTTCTGATTTCAAAAAGTGAAATTGTAGATTATCAATTAGAATCTTGTGAAAGTTCAAAGATCTCAAGATTTTCAAACATGAACACAACAGCTCCGAAACATGAAATTATTACTCTACCTAGAAAGTGAAAGAAACGAAGTTAGAGATTATTTATACATAAAAATCATATATTCATGTATACCATACCAACCTCCAAGTGTTTGTTTAAGTGTAAGAGGGCGTCAGAAGTCTGATACAATACTATATCATATGGTATCATAAAACTACATATATATGAATAGCTAAAAATTAAGTAAACTAGTTTGATAATAGTTTATTAAATTTTGTACTCAATTAAACTAATTTTTTTTCAGAGTATGATGATATCATACATACTTTTTTGAAATGTTGACTAAATAAGTTTTATATTCATGTTGCAATCATAATATTACTTTGGCCAAAACTTGTCTCATCTGCAAATTTCAATAGATGAGCCTACATGAACAGCAATTAGGTTGAGCAGTGAGTGCATATTTAATTACAGAGCATTTCTGTATTTTATAACAAACTGACTGATCATCTCACTTCAAGAAGCTAATAATTACACATTCGTACATCATATTAGATGGTCATACCCGTGTCATTTATTACGCCCATATAAAATAACTTGGTGTTGTGGCACTTTGATTTGAAATGTTGTAGTGTGAGAAACAACATACAAAGAAATAACGCGAAAAGAAATTCATCATGTAATAAGTCAAAAGGAACTTGCCACCAAACTCTGGAAAACATGAGAGGGGTCATATATGACAGTAAAATAATGTAGTCCCGATCCTTTTTCTGAGTTGCTTACATTCCCACACACGTGAGATTGAAAAGAAGTACATGAACTAATCAAACTCTTCTTTAACAAAAAACTAGAGAATTTGTCTCCACTGATGTCACAAGAAAACCCAAGCATCACTGATAATTCCTACATTTCTAGAGTTAGTATTGTTGTCTTGCATATTGCCAAGGGTATATTATGGGGATAAGTTTTTGCTTTGTGCAGCAAAAACTGGCACTTTTGATACAAGTTTGAAAGTGCTCGTTATTGCTTATCGTGGCTATTTTTTCCTCGGTATATTTCTTGGCTCGTGTTTTTATGCAGACTCCGGATAGGAGTGAAACAAGTCGAGCACATCGAGGGAATAGTTTCTAACTGTCAGGGGCAACTCTAAAGCAGTCCACCAGTAATACACTTCAATATGTACGTAACGAACTGCTGCTCGAAGCGTCCGAGGAATATCCAGGTGGCAGCTGTAATTCTGTGAACGAATTTCTCGGGCATTTGTGATTCTTGGTCCGATCCATTTTGCCGATCTTGGATCCGAAGGATTGTCAAGATGGAGGCTTTTATGCTGAACATTCACATGCAGCGGTCGACTTTGCTCGACACGTTTTACGAAAATCTGCAGGCTACTGCCAAGGTGACATGAAGACGGCCATAAACCTCTGATATTCGATCGGTAGCACATCCCCCGTTGAACGTGGTGCATTCTACCTATCTGAAAAGATATGTGAATTCAACTCGTATGGCCAGCAATCCGAATTGGACCGAAGTCCAGTTCTGAGGCAGAACCAGTTTAGGAGATTTAGCAAGTTTGGTGATGAGTGAAGGATTTTTATAGCTTCTATGAGTCCGTTATGTCGAGGAAGGAGACAAGAAGACGGAATAGCACTCTCACTTTTCACGTGCTGGATTTTCATAAACCTCTGTTGTCCTCTCGTCTCTGTTGATTCTGATGAATGCTGCCATCTGCTCTTTGTAGATAATATGACACCGCGGAGAGGTTTCTTCCTTTCTAGCGTTTTAGGGTCGCAGTGTTCGAAGAGTGCAGATCATAGATCTTCAGTGTTTAGTATCAGCGCACATGCTTGCCGAAGTCTAAAATATTGCTCAGTGAAATCCCTGTCAATCTTTTGACGGGCGATAACTGTATTTGAGAAGTCGATTGTGGGCCATTGCAATTCAGAAAGGTCCAGCAGTGAGCCGTCTCCTGTATGTAGCCAAGACTAAAGAGAAGGAAAGCACGAAACAGCGAGTTGCAGGTCACATTTTCCATCTCTTCGATATCTAGAATGGACAAGTTCTACAAGTTCATGCTGTGAATGTCTGTATGGCGTCGGTGAGTTTTATGGTACTCTCGCATCACTGTTACACCACCTTACTAGCTCTCACGACCAATATGTGTTTGATGTTCAACTGTGCAGCTTCCAATTTTCCAAAACGTTTATGGACTGTTGTAAACAGTACCTTTACTTAGCGAAGATTTGCTAGTTTCCTCGTTCCTAAACTAAGTTCGATATATCTGTTGACATTGGCCCTTCTTATCGTAACTTCTTGCAGCCTACCACGAAGAAATCTTGAAAAAGGCAGCTGGAAATTTGAACAAGGTTTCCGGTTTTCTTACAGTATATCCCACATGTTGCTATTGCTGTGTCGAGGTAAAAGAGATTCTAAGACAAAGGATCCGAGCACCATAAATCGTGGTATACATTTGAATTGTGAACTCAAGAAAGCTAAAACCTACATCTGAAAGATGTCCGCACATACCCGAGACTGGGGAAAAGCTCCAAATCCGTTCTTCCTGCAGCTGGACATACTGCGGATGACAGCCTCAACAACTCGTCTTCATCTTTAGAAGCTCTTTTCTCACTAAAACCCTTCTGCAGGCTGAGACTCCGCACCTGATGGCTCTTTTGAAAGCATTTCAACTATCAGCTTCGAATCCTTCTGCAATCCTGGAAGGTTTTTGCGTACTCTCATACACCGAAGAGGTTACAATATGTCCTCAACCTTCAACGTGCGTTTGATGTTCTCAGAATGGTGATTCGGAGAAAATTGGGGCCCCAAGCGTACCTCGTTCATGATGCGTTACAATGAGTAACGTGCAGGGTTTCACAGCTATGAACTGATACCCAGTGGTCTTTCAAAACCTTACTAGTTTTGTATACTCCAACGTTCCGTTCTTTCAGGACAGGGTAGGTTAAACTAGTGATCGTGTACATCAAATCATATTCAGCAGTCGTGCAAGTGTTCTCTGGCTATGGTGACAAACATATCTAAAGTACGTACTACCTAATTTGCACAGATACAAGGCCGAGCCTTTCCATCATGGATGACGGTGTACGTCAACGTGCCACCACCAGCCGCAGCAGCAACCCCATCAGCTGACCCTGTAGTGGAAGAAGACTTTCCTGACAAGTGGAATACTGAAGTAAGTCCTGGCTTCAGGATTTAGTGTCAGGTTGTGAAACTAAACTAACGAGACAGTTCTGTGTTTTATGTTTTTATGACGACAATATCTGCTTTGCCCGGTTTAGGTTACCTTAAACCTAAACCCTTCCCTTCCAAATAGAATTAGATATCAAGCACTTTGCAATGTACAGGAATTGTCATACCATACGTGCGTCTAGTTTGAAAAAGTCCTCCAATTTAGTGAACAACTCATAGACGAGGATGGGAGAGGCCATGAGAGAGATGCCTTGTCCTTCATGCTGCAGGTCTCGGACTTGAACATCAACATGCTGAAGTGGGGTCGTCAGCTGTCGGAGATGGATAAGGTTTTCTGCTCTAATATTATTCTTTAAGTATTTATGAACAATACGGTTGGTAGTGGTCCGGTGTTTGTTCCTTGCACTCAGACGATTGCTGAGGGGGTTTGTAATAAAGTGTCACTGGTTCTCATTTTCTATTTTACTGTTTTAAAACACATGAAATTGTCTGTTCACAGTGTTCCTATATTGGTTAGGGGATGAAGGGGAAAGAGAACATCGAGCTGAAACTGAAGATTACTGTGTAGCTGTCACTACCCGCGAGTGGGGCGGGTACGCAACTGAAGCTGTGATATCTGGTGTCAAATTGTCGCCTGTGAAAGAATTAGTCTTTAAGTGTTGATCACTTTGCGAGTTGATTAGGGAGATTTGGCCATGGCTTAGTAATCTTTTAAGGGCTGCTTGCCATTATAATCTTGTATATGCATTATACAAGATTTTAACTGCACAGGTGAAGATAAAGATACTTATAAATCAAACCTTTTCGATAAAAGTAAGAGTCAGAACCAGAACTTCATGTATTAACTGTGAAGATTTCTTCAAATCACTCCGTCAGGATTGATTACAAAACAATCATGAAGTCTGTTCTTCCGTTGAGTTCTTCAGAAGAAGGAAAATTCAAGACTGTTCTGACAGGACAGCGATAAACAGCAGAATGTGAACATAACGAAACTTGAACTGATGACAGAAGTGTTGACAGACAGAACATCAAAACCAGGTCGTGGTGATGACTACAGAATTCTCAAACCTTGGCTCTTGAGTCTCTCCGAGCAACAGCCGAAGATCTTCTCCCTTACGATCCCACTGTTTTGACAAACCGTAATCACGAAGCCCTCCCCATTCTTAAGTGTGCGGATATTTGATTCACCTGGACGGCTGTCTGACTCAGTTTTACTTCCACCTCCGGTTCTTAGCAAAATCGTCCGGACTTGACCCCCAACACTTGACCCCAATTCAATATTCACACGAGTTCTGATCATTGGCCATCGCAATTGCAGTGACGAACTCTCCAAGGGCACCTAAACTGGAAGAGATTTTGGAGCTAATGGGACAGCATATGACGATACTGTTTGATTATGATATCCTCCCAGTACTGTTTGATTTTTCGTAGTTAATACCAGTTCTCAACAGCTATTGTCTATTATAAGTTTAAATTTGTTAAATTATCACACATTTTGAAAGACTTCTCAGAGCCAGTAGGTGTTGAGATATGATACTTCTTAACTTTCAGCACATATGGTGTGGCCCATCGCGCATCTTCCGATCCACTTGCTATGAAGCTGTTGTGTACAGTCAAGAACATTCGCTACATCATCTGGAGGCCACGGACTTGAGATTTTTGCTGCTGTTGAAGATTGGTACTGCCGGGGAACAGAGTATTAGCAAACTTTGAGTCAGTTGACATTCCACCGATGAGTATTGGCGAATGTATATTTCAGCGATGTAGATAAAATTTTTGTGATTCTAACTTTGTCTAGGGAGCTTAATGCGATCGTTGTGGTACTGCGATATTTCTTTCAAGACTAGTGCAAAGAAAATCGCATCTTCCTACGCGAGGAGCAGATGTTTTACGAGACATTTCAGTAAGTTACTTTCTTAGATTTTTTGTTTCAATCACTGAAATGATCGTTGTACGTTTTTTAGGTTCAGCTAGCTTCCAAGTCATGTTTTGACCGATGTTTCCAAATCATTGATTTTGAGGATACATCAGTATTTCCCAAATTTATTTCTTACTAGCTACCCTGAAGGACGAATATGAACACATACCATAATGTATTACACAGAACATACGACCAGAAAAGTGCCAAATTCCACCGTACACTTCAAGAGATTTGCATCATGGAACAATAATCTTGTTAACTGTGTCGACAGAAAGAACTTGACTCGAGAAAAGTCGTAAGGTTCTGGCTCCAAATCATGTAATACAAATTATAAAGTATGGCAGATATAAGAAAATTATTTACTTATCTTTCACTATAAGATTTTTTCGAACTCTATACTCTTCCGGAAACCCACTCACGTCTTTCATCTTTGGACTTTTCATCGGAAGAATTCATACTACCGAATATGCGGTCCAATTATTCTACTTTGAACACAGAGAAGACTAGAATGTAGTTGAGGTCATCAAACTACTTGACCAATCCACTCTATTCAGCGGTCTTCAATCTCCTCTCCAACTCGTTTTCTCCTCACTTACTAGAGGTTCCAAGTCGCAAATCGAGCTTTCTCTGAGGGTTCAATTTTTGGCCCCTCGATCCATAACACACTTGTATTGGGATCAATTGTTTCACCATGTCAGCTTGAGCCTGCGCCGCACCAGTCATCAATCAAAGTATCTTCATATATTCATCTTCTTGAGGTTTCCAATCAGGTACATACTTTGGGTCCAACTAACCTAGTTCTGAGAAAACAAGGGTTGAAATGTTTTTTTTATCTAGGCCATCTACAAGTACATGGGGTGGGTGACCTCATGATCTTCCACTTGGACATGGCAATCTTTGGCTAATCTAATCCTCTTCAAATACATCTTCAATATCTTTGACCTCATGACTCCATCCTTCTCTAGAAATAGATATGTTTTTTTGCATATTAACAAAAACCTCATTGTTTCATTAGTTCCATCTTGCATTTCAAATGGATGCTGAAGATTAGTTTGAGAGATGCTTTTGTAAGTTTATGTTTCTTAGATGCAGGTAATACATTATTGTCATCCTTAAGATGAAGGATTTGGGGACTAGAATCCAAGATCAGATCCACACATTTGGTGATCTAGTGATAGATATCCAAAATATGGAGGAGGAGATTTCAGATAATTAGAAAGCTCTTCATCTTGCTGCCATCATCCTACGAGATGCTATCATGTATATTCTTCCATTGTGATAGACAGCCATCGTTTACAACGAGGTTTGTAAATGCTTTGCCGACGTATGACAGGCAGCCGGAGATGATGTCATCATCTTATCCATCAAATTTGATACGGTAGTGATTGTGATTTGAGTTTGGTCACGGATGACAAAGATGGATGACCTGTATGATCTAAGGTGAAATCCAAGTCCAGGGGTAAGATCACCAAGAGAAAAACGACGATTTTTTTGGAGATGTGGTAATAGTGGCCACATAAAAAAGTACTATTGTATAAAGATGAAAGGCACAGTTTTTACTTAGTTGAAAAATGTCACTTAACACTTTGATCTCGAGGAGAACGAGCTGCTCAAAAAATGGTCTGTGAAGCCAGAAGTATGTCCTATGCAATTTATCAAAGATGGTTGATGACGTATGGAATCTTGATAGTGTTTATCCTAATCACATATGTTAAATTAGAGAGTTATTTTATACTTTTTTTTTTATCAAACAGAGAGATTCTCATGAAAAATCATCAACCTAGTAAGATTGAGGGTGTTGAAACTATGAAGATCCGCATGTTTGATGAGATCAAATAGACACTGATTCAAGTAGGGTTATACTTGACGTAAGAAAAAGTTTGATATCTTTTGGTATGTTAGACTCACAAGACCTAGAGTGGAGACTTTAAAAAAGGCGTGTTAGACGTTAGATTATGTGATAAAATTATCCTTTGAGTATACAAGCACAATCATCTGTATTTACTAGAGATCAATATTATCTATGGGAAAGTTCACTTTACCAGATTTTCAGTTGAGATATCTCATGTATGACATTTTAGGCTAGAACACATGAGTGATAGGTACATATCTCTCCTTGATGAAAGTAAGTTCTTACCAGATTTGAATATTGTGAATATTGTTTCATGTGCAAACAACACATGCAAGCCTTTGATGTTGGACTAATAGTTTCAAGGAGTTACTTGAGTATATACATAATGACAAGCGAGTAATTATTTTATTGCCTTACTTTCTAAAAATTTATACTATTTATCATTTATAGATCATTATTCAAGGTATGTGTGGATTTATTATTTCACAAACAAGTTTGAAGTACTTTCAACTCTCATGAGTTTGCGGGCTCAAGTTGAGACACAAGATAGGATATTTGCGCACAGATAATGGCAGGAAGTATACTTTTGAGGATTTTCAAGTTACTACAAAAAGTAGGGGATTTATAATCTGCAATAGAACGTTGTTTTTGAAAGTCTCAATACGGAAGGTATGGAATATGTTAAAGTCAATCAAGTTTATCATGTGAATTTTGGGTAGAAGCAATCAACACCATAGTTTATTTGGTACACTTTTCTCTTTCTAGTATGATCAATATCTTAACACCTTTTGAACTGAGTTACAAACGGATGGCTAATTGTTGATTGTTGAGTGTATTGCTTATACTATACATACTACCTTTGCGTGCCACACGTTCCAAGGGATGGTTTGCAGATGTGATGACTTGGTCTTTGAGGTGGAATGTGACGGAATTGGATTGGGATCTGCAACCTATGGCCCTTCGCGAGCGTATTAAGGAGGAGTTTCTCAACATCATTTGGAGGAGAGGAGGCACTAAAATGCAGTTTTATCAACTTCATGTGAATCCTATGCTTATTTATAGTGAGCAAGGATACCTTGTTGCAGAGATTGCTACATCTTTACGTCATATTATTGCCAGGCATAGAACAGGATCTCATAGGCTTGGAATTGAGGAAGGACGTTGGTTGAATATTGATAGGAGTGAACGGATTTGTAGGCTATGTGATGGGAGAAATGTTGAGGATGAAGAGCATGTGTTTATTACTTGTACTAGATATATAGAGATTCGAGTAGCGCATAAAGTTGATGTCGAGAATTTCTTTTCTCTGCTTCAACTCGAGCCTTATGATTTAGGTTGTTACATTATGAGATATTATTAGTTACCGTTTTAGTGCTTTGGGCACTAGCTAGGGGGTTCTTTTGGTTCTCTCCTAGTTTGGAGTTGGATTGTTTGTATTGTGTTTTTTAGCCTTTTGACCCTTTGGGTCCCACGGGCTTGATCTATTTACCATTTACCATTTACCATTGTACCAAAGTAGAATAGAACTAAGTTAGATCCTGCATCCAAGAATTGTCATTTTTTTGATATGCTAGTGATGTGAAGGATTAAAGATTATGACATCTAATTGCTTGTAAGATTATTTTCAATAGGAATGAAAGAGTAGGAGAGTTCTCAGGCTCTTCATACTGACAAGGAAAAATCTTCACTCACCGATGTTATTGTAAAGGAGATTGATCATTGTGTGATTAGTTATATGACACAAGAAAAAGCACCAGTACAAATATAGCAAGTTTATGAGTTTCATGAACTAGAGGAGTAGATTATTGTTGATCACACTCATGTATCTGCGCCAGATAATAGATTTCAACCGAAATATTCTACTATGAGATCTTTTAATTGTGCTAGTAGAGCTCTTGTCAGGTTATGGTGTATAGATTGATTCATACATTCTTGAAAATCGTGACATTGATACATAGGATGATGATGGTACTACGTTGATCTTGGAAGAAGTGGAACCTTTTTTGTACACGGAAGCTCAAGCTTTGGTAAATAAGCTTGATTGATTTGTTGCTAAGAAGCGTGAGATGCAGTTGTTGATTGATAACACGATTTTGGAACTAGTTGAGCTTACTAGGAATCAGATCTTGATTGCATATGGATCTACAAGTTAAAACACAATCTAGTAGGTCAAAAGGCAAACATTTTCAAAAGCAAGGTGATGGCTAGAGGTTTCACATAGGACAAAGGTCTGGACTATAATGAATTTCTTTCACTCGTAGCAAAATATGCTACAATTTTGTTAGTAAATGCAATGGCTATGATATTTAGTTTTCAGTATCGAGGAGTAAAAAATTATCCGATTCGTTGCATTTCTAACAAGCAAGTTACGGTTGTACTCGTTTTCATATCAATTTTATCCAAAATTCCTAAATTGGAAGAAGCCTATGTGGAACGGACAGACATGGGAACATCTGTCACTTCCACATAGTCTTCTTCACAGTTTGTGTTGTTATTCAGCTTTGTGCTAAAAATCTTCAAACTCTCATTTTTAAGTTCTGTATCAAAGTAACTACGAAGTTTGCACACGCTTGCTGCAACATGTTCAAGAATCGAGGATTTGAAAGTTTTGAGGTGTGGTATTACTGATTAGGATTTGGAAGCAGTTTTAGTCGAGAATGAAGCGGCATTGAAGAGCTTGTTTTTGGAACATGCAAAACCCTCACGGACAAGAGTGTTGAGGTTCTTGAGTGATTGGTAATCCCACGCAATTTCAAAGCTTGGAATGTGAAGCAATTTCAGGGTATGAATTGGAAGGTCGTAGACCGCTTTGAGATGAACTTTCTCAGTATTTTTGTGTGACGCACTTGAAAGTGTTCAACCTAAGGGGACCATTCAAGCCAGTTTTTGAAACTTTGAGCTTGAATTTCACGGTTGAATTGCGTCAAACGTCGAGCAAAATTTGACAGTTTATCTGCCAACTTTCGATCAAATATGAAGCTTAGTTCACCTTCTTATGCTTTGAGTTTCGACAGCGCTGCTAGTCTAATTGAACCTGATCGAGAATGTTTTAAATCAATATCAAGTGAGCCTCCATTTATGAAAAAAAACTCGCCTTGAAAATGGACTTGACGGAGCCACTCGAGATGGATGTGTTTGGTAGTGGAGCTTTGTCTGACCAAGTGAGACAATCACGAGCACGTAGTCTCACAGATATCATAAAATTTCAGTGGATAGTCACCAGGTGCAGCAATTTGTAGAGAAATTTGTCCATTTGTCATGTAGTAAATCCGAAAGACAGCTGGTTGATACATCAAATGGCAGCTCCGAGCAATCTGACTTAGTTAACAAAAGTAGTGATCAAAGTGTATTTCGAAAGATGCAAGATACTATGATGGGGCAGAATTCTCTGTTATCTCTGGTTCTGGTGACCTGAATTGGTAGAACTGCTTAGAAGACGTGGCTTGGAGAAAGAGCTGAGGCGGATATCAGAATTGAAAGATTCTGTTCCGAGTAGATCACAGGAACGAAAGCTGTAATCCGGATGGGAACATTGAGTCAGTGGGACAGTCTAGGAGCCTTCTCAAAGTCACTCAAATGCAGAAAGTTTGAACCCAGGAATGAGAGACATCCTTACAAATCAAGCGTGAGTTTTACAAGGTGAATCTGTAGATGGAGGCGACTTTCTTAGCGAATCTATTACAGTTGGAGACAACCGAAAAAATGCAGAAAACCCCGAATCAAATACTGAGCAGAAAATCAAGTCATCTGATCTTTGGACTTTGAGAGTCGAGGCTATCATAAACTTCTGCCAGCAAATTAAACGAAACATTTCACTGTTACAAACCTTCAGCTCTCGGAACCTGTGAAAAACAAGTGATTAATTTCCAACTCGAGACCTGTTTATGTCTTCAAAAGAGTCAGAAAGTTCAAACTCAACAAATTGACTCAAACTTCGAACCAAAAATCTGAAATCACTGTCACAAAATCATAGCTCTTTCACAAACTCCAAAATCAAAATTAGGTTAAGCAAAATCACAACTCTTTCACTTCGAGCCTAAACCGTGACTTCTGTCAAATCAACTTCAAGAAATCTCGTCTCAGAAAATTGTCAGTAAGTCTTATCACTGAAAACCGTCACTGGAAAAAACCCTCAGCAAACACAAACTGAAACAATTTTCTAACTACAGATCCGAACCAAAAACCGGCTCAAACTTCAAATCCAAAAACATGCTCTGGTAGCAATTGTAAGCGTAAACCTGAGAATCATTAATGACAAAGCATTCAGACGAGAGAGGGACAAAACGTATAACCTGAGAATTATTAATGACAAAGCATTCAGACGAGAGAGGGACAAAACGTATAACTTGAGAATCATTAATGACAAAGCATTCAGACGAGAGAGAGACAAACGTATAATGTCGTTCACACTCAAAGGATTACGTTCAAGGAGAAAAAGCATCAATAAACATTCGCTTAAGTCCTGAACTTGATCCGGGAGGTCTGGTGCGGATTTAACTGAGATGCGGACCTAAAGAAGATTAGGGTTAATACACATGTAGATTAGAGTTAGCACATATGAAAGACAGTTTCGAGTTCATTTGCAACGATGAGCGTACGTGTGGTGAAACGCAAAGGTGAGGGCCAACGTTTGAATGCCCGTCAGAGAATGGAAATTATCACTACCTTGGAGCAATCCAAACCGCCGACTAATCGAAGCATTGCTTGACAATACGGTGTCGACGAGAAGGTTATTCGGAAATTGAAAGCAAGCAAAGATGAGATTCGTGAACGAGTTCAAACCCGAACCCGAATCAACCTCGGCTTACAACAACATTGATCAGCGCGATGTTATACTTCAGCCTTTAGAGAGTGCAATCAGTCTCGATGTCAATATGAATGACCTGAAATCTTTGCCATATTTGTCATCCGACCATATAAATCAGGCCACGGCAGCACTATTTACAGTCCTTAGCATTTTACAAACTAGACGATCCGCGATAGCTCGGGAGCGAATTGAAAATAGTCGCCAAATGACCATTTGATTCTCTGTAAAATACACTCTTGATAATTGATCCAAGAATTTTGCGTTGTGAAGTGCAGACTTAATTGTGATGCGGACTTAAGCGAGTGTTTACTGTAGTATATTGTGCATTCTCTTAGGTAATACACAGACCTTATACATATGTACCCGACACCAATCTCAACTATTAATAGCTAAACATAAGGTTACTCTTTAATTGGAATTAACCTCAACATACCATTGAATATAATATAATAAAAAAATCCATAAAACTTTGGATTTTATTTAGATTTTTCCATCTTGAACATGTTTCATATTTCAAAAAGTAATTTAACTTATTATATAAAATATTTTTAACATCTTTGATGTACACTCTTAATCCCAATGTGAATTTATTGTAAGACTTAACTTAGATCTTACCATAAATTGTTATTAATGATTCTGGAAATAATTCATTTCATCATCTGCTCATAGCATCATATGACAACATTGATGATGTATTTCTTACTATACTCATACGTTTATGCATAGAAACGACCCTTTATGGAGCAACTAAAACAAGTCTTTATATGTGTCACCTACTATGATGTGATCAACATTTTTAACTAGTTTAATAATCTGTTGCGCAATTTCTACAAATATACTGAAATCTGCATCCATAAAACTCATTTTCTTGAAGAAAAAAGATTGTGATATGGATGCATATCACTTACCTTAGAAAAATTTACTCTCATCGTAATCCTCATTGACATCTTGGAAGATTATCAAAATATTTCAATTGTTGTAATGTACATGTACAACCAACTACATGGATCAACTTCAGCACGTCAAAAAATTTTGACTTGAACATTTTAGGCTTGCACCATGCTCCAATGACGATGACTGACCCAAATTACACTTACGCATTAAAGTCGAATCTCAATTAAAATTTAAAACCATAGGAAATCTCGGAAAAAAATCACAAACTTCAAAAGCTTTGTTGTGTTATATCTTTGGACGTTAACGTTATTCCATATATGGTAAGAAGAACGAGTAATGATTAGAAACTATATTCTTTCGTTGAACCGCCTTGTTTTGAACGGTTCTAGGCTCTGGAGGCGATAATGTTGCGGACAGCCTTTACAGACCGCCTTCGGTGGTGGTGGCATGTTGCCTATGTCTTTGCGTAAGTCCAAATAAGAGACGAGAGACAGCGAGGAGGGTGGTTCTTGCGTTTGTTGTCACGTGGTGACGAGGTACAGAGACGAATGTCGCAGACTTTGGGGGGAGAGTGGAAGTTGAAAATTTGTTCTTACCAGTGGGTGAGATCGGGACTCTTCGGAGAGGGTGCTGGTTCCGATGAATGACATTTTGACACTCAGTTGCTGGGTAGCGGGTGAGGAGGAGGAGGAGGTGGTGGTGGTTTGAAGTTGGGTTCCGAAATTTCGTGTGTCACAGACGGGTGCAAACTGGGATTTAGTGATCTCATGGCGATTCCCATTTTCGTTCGTTTAATACTTTACTCTAGAGGCTTTCAGAGACGTCTCGTCCTACTGCACCAAATAGTAGTAGAAGAAGGGCGAAGGGCCCACCAGCTTGCACAACGGATAAAACTATAACGAAGTGGATGTTATCGAAGTGTCGATAACATCCACTTATAATTATATTAAACTTCTGTATTGTCTCAAATATATGTATCATTGTATATCAATGATCTCAGATAGATTGCACGATTTATAGTCGAAAACATAATTTTGAAAATAAGTTTATTATATGATTTTAAGATTAACAGATACCATAATAATTTTTAACACAAATTCAAATCAGCTGACACGAGGAGGGATAATAGTCACTTTCTTCGAAACCCCACATAATATTGTACCTATTGAACCACTCTGCGGAAGTGCATGTTAGCCCTCCACATTCTCGTGAAATACAAAGTTCTACATTATTTGGAAACGGTACGATGGATATCTATCCTACATTCTCGGTACATGCAACGAGTTACATGGTTTACAGCGATGATTCAGGCTATACCTGAATCATCGATCGGGCAATGGTAAAAGGGTCCAAAGTGTTGGGAGAGGAAATCGTGCGAGGAGTAGAGAAGGTTCGACATCAACCCCTGTCTCCGTCTCGTTTTAGAATGTACACGATCGGAATCCAACTGTCTTTCCTTGCACGACAGTGAAGTCGGAGATCCACTCGTTATCTGCCACTAAAAGACCGTCAGTCACTCGGACTCGTGAGCCGTCTGCGTTCTGCCCTGGTTCAGGTGCTCACGTGGCACGGCTAAACATGAGTCACCGTTTTAGTCACAGTCATTCTCGCTCCCCTAGGGTTTGGATTATCAATTATTCGACTGTGATATGAAATATCACAGTCAAATTAACATTAGACGCAATGGAATTCTATTCTAATTGTCCAAGGATATGCAGGTTCTTCGTAAATTTGATTTAAATGAACTCCGGTTCAGTCCAAAGTATGTACCTCAACGTCCATTTAAATGACACACAATCAAATTAATTTGTACATGTTTAGACACATATATTTCTAAGTAAGAAATTTAGTTCCCGAAAGAGAAATTTATCATTTTCAGACGGCTCTAAATTAAAATAGGGCATTTTTTCGGAGAAAATTGCTTATGAGACCTCTGGGAAACTCAAACCCTTGAACATACCCAATAGGTTTCAATTTACCCAATGTGACCCCCATTCGACTGCCACCGTCGGCCATGTTCTAATAACTTACTGATTTGCTCTATAGAGTGGAAGCCTCGGCCACTGTTGGGCCAGAGTAATTTGCGACTCCTTCGCACTGCGAAGGAGTCGCCATGTCCAAGAAAACGGGCCGTGAGTTCTTGGACATGGCTGCGAAATTCGCAACCATGAGTACAACGAGCACCATGAATCTGAACTGTGATTTCATCTTTCTACTCGAAATAACCCCGGATAGTACTGGAACATCACTAACGGTGGGGCTACACGGCCATCGCGTAAAACGAAACCTGTTAGGTCCCATCGAGAGTTTTGAGTTTACCCCGGGTTCCATCAACTAAATTTCTCCATTTTTCGGCACGCGTGTTTATTTTGACTATGTAAATAAATTTATTGCACAAATTTACTGAGAGCTGAATCATTCAGTTGATAAAAAATTGTTACGCTAGATAAACATGGTTAAATTAGCCTCCGGATAAAAATAGAATCCACTTCCGCGTCGGTACATTATTTGGATCTTCTCTTGGGTACAATGTCCGAAAAAAGCTTTTCTTTTCTCAGATGCTACTGATCGGTCAAACGGCTTGCAGGCGGCCAAAGAATGTCACTTCCTCGAGGTGAATGATAGAGAGAGAGACGTTATCTCGGAGCGCTAATTGCTTTCGAGAAACGGCGCTCGCAATTGGTGGCCCCGCAATGGGCATTTGGGGCGTTGCGTGGATTTTGGGGCGGGTCGAGGCGCAATCGTCGTCGCCCGGTTCAGACTGATCATGCAAAAAGCTGAGGGAGGCAGGGAGGGAGGGTGGGTGGACGAAAGTCGCAAGATTTCAAGCTTTTTCAGAAACCTGAGTGTCGGGTGAGATCTGCATCCTTGTCGACGAAGAAAGTGGGCTTGCTCTGGCCGCAGTCCACATTTGTCCCCCCACTTCGCTCTTCTGCAAATCCGCTGCTGCCGCTTTACCGCGTCGGATCGAGGATCGGTCTTCCGTTGCTCCTCCTGCTCTTCCTTCTCTCGTAGTCTTGCGGCTGCGGCTGCCGCCGAGAGCGACAAGACTAGGGATTGACATCTGAGGACAAGGCACGGTCGAGGCATGGATCCCTTGTCCAAATCCAATAGGAAAGTGGACCTTTCGTGTCCGGTAGCTCCCGTGTCTTGAGGCTCACAAGAATGGCCATGTGCGAAGCGGAAGCCTATGATTCGAAGATCGAATCTTCTACACCGTCGTCAACACCCTGCACGACCTTTTTCCTTCACTGATCGCTCGAACCGTTTTCATCAAAGAGTCCTTAACCAGCCAGCAGTTGTCAAGAGTTGGCCGTGATTATTAAAGGCAGATATTGTTCAGCTTCGCGGCGTGGCCGTGGAGTCACAGAAGCGTCTACGTGAAGTAGATCTGCTATTCACATTCTGGCGATTGCGCATTGATGTCGCACTGATCTTGGCAGACTAGCTTGAAGTTCTCCTGTCCTCACCCACCACTATGTCTGACACATTGGTAGATCCAAGTGAAGATACTGCAGATCGAGAAACCTTGCAAAGCATTTCTGATTCGATGATAAGAATGATCTGCAGCGATCCAGGGAAAAGGTTGATACCGCCAGGCACGGGAGCATGTGTGATTTGCAGATTCGGCCCAGGATTTTCGACTCTTGTGAACCTTGAAACCCTGCACAACAGTGGAGAACACAGTGCAGTACATTTACCGCAGGGATCAAAGATTCCGATGAATCATCCGGAATCTGGACAAGCTTTAAGGGGTCAGCGGGTGCATACATGCCCGGCGTTAAAATATCGCTCCGTCCCTCTTTGCCTGCCTTCCATCTACCTACACTGTAGTGAAACATGCCTGTTGATTCTGAACGAGCCAACCAGAATCTTTCTGGTTAGGCTCTACACGGCTTACAATGCTCCAGTGATCTTTGTTTTCATGCACAATGAGCTTCTCCTCTAGTATCTCGTTTCATGCACACTAGTTCTTATATCCAATGCCAAAAGAATATATTTCAACAGATAGAGGGTCTAAATTCGCTTGACAGGCACGTACTATCTAGTTCCCTCTTTCCACTGGGTCACCACCTGAATACCATCGTAACACGATATCGATCTGTAGCTTGATGAACCTTGTAGTTGAGGTATATCACAAATTTCGAAACAAAACATATATGAAAACATTGAAAGCGCAATGTGGGCGTGGATCTATCTGGTTATTATCAAATCTTCCAGCTGAAGGGTTCAGGTTGCAGTCTCCATCCGGTGAAAATTCGACCCTGCGTCGGGTGTAACGGTAAGTCTCTGAAGGTCATCCGGCGATTCGAGCCATTTGCGGCACATTTCACCCATTTGTCGGCACGTTTGACGGGACCAATATACCAAAGCACGGGTGAGCAAGGGCTTACTTAGTTGAGCTCAATGCGCAAGAATGCGCACAAAAACAAATCGCTGTATCTTCAAGTCATTGGTGAGCGAGGACTAACCTCTCCTATTGTGAAGGAGCATAGAAAGATTTTCAGAAGAAGATTTGTATACATCAGTGAATTTGGATCACACAAAGGAAGGTCGAATTTGAGAAGACGTCCATTCTCTTGCCAGAAAATATAAGCATGTAGCCTCAGCGCGGAAGATATAATCCCCATCCATACACTGCCAGATCGATCACTGGAGTAGCAAACCGACGACTGTACATGATCTTCATTCCAAAAAACATCACGAATCCATGATGTGAATAAACTGAAGCCTCAAGAGTAGAATTGAGATTGCGCAGGATTTGATGAGTAGAGCTACGGCACAATGCGATGTAGATAATCACATACCTGCTTGCCAGCCCGCCATCGAGAAGGCTAGTCAAATCGAAAAGAGTTAAAAGTGGGGATAAGGCCAAACACTCTCAAGTACTTTCATCAGAGCACTAAATCCACAACTGAAGAGCACCTGACTACTATGAAAGTTTTCTGCCCTCCCGAGGGTCGCATGCCGGCCTCTGCAGTTAAGAAACCGGGTGGTGACAGACCCACGGGAGCAATGGGCGGAACTAAAGAACATCTGAAGACCTTTCTTCCTGACCGCAGGAAGAGTCAGTGAAAGCGAATAAGCGAGTGTCGTGGTTCAATTGGGACCACGACGAGCTTCGCTCATTGGCTTTATTGGAGCGTCTGGTTCCTGGCTGGCGTGCAATGACGTTCTCCATTTGCAGCAGCCAAGAGTTTGAAAGAATGAATGGGGATTTGATCATAAAGAAAGGAAGCAGCAGAATGGGTACCTCCTTGGCTTCTACCTCATATGACTAATTTTAAGGTTCACGCCCGCCGCACACATGCTTTGCACTCGGCTCGCACTCTCTCAGAAACCAAATCACAAACAATCAACTGTGGACTATGATTGTCACCGGACGAACAGATTCGTATCTCCTCTACAAAACCTATGAATACAAGGTTCTTCCATGACCCATGGAAGCTGCCTGCCTGCCTACTTGAAGCTCAGTCTACAGCCTTGACTATGAATGGCCTCCGATGGTGCTGATCATACTCGTCCTGTTGTTGCCCGGCATGGATTTGGAACGGGACCCCGAATTCCGCGCGCTGGCAGCCGCACTGTCCTCCTTGCCGAATTTCGCAACGCCGTTCGCTTCCACGGACTGCGCGCTCGAGGACGCGTCCGAAGACTCGCCGACGACGACGGCGTTGGACGACTTCGAATCCTGGTGAGGCGAACTCGGGGCCGCTCGAGCCTTTTCGGAGCTGCTTCCGACCGAGCTCGTTAGCTTCGATGCCTTGCTGGTGCTGGGAGGGGTGGAGGGGGAGGATGCTGCAGCCGTGGCAGCTGCCTCGAGCGAGGCGAAGGAGGCAGGCGCGGAGTTCGTCTTTTGCAGAATGGGCGGAGCAGGCGAGATGGCCCCGGCCCTGCGTTGACCACCGGGTGTCATGTTCATGGGCCGCCCAGGGCCGCTGGACGCTCCACTAGAGGGGAAGAACACACCGGTACCGGCACTCGGGGGTCTGTTGGGCGGAGGCGGTCTGGGAAGAGGCGACCAGCTCGGGGGGATGGCCATTGATGGAGGGGGGAAAGCACCTCCTGCGGGAGAACCCGAAAACAAAGGTGGCACGGACGTGGGAGAGTTGGTGATGATCTGCGCAGGTGGCCTGGCTGTCGGAACCGGCAGTACGCCTGATGATACTGGAGGGGTAAACTTATGAGACTTGAACGAAGATCCAAAGCGGCTCGGCTCGGCTGCTCCTCTTCCGGAAGAATTGCTATGGGTCAGGGTGCTGTTCCCTTGCCGGTTGTGATTGCTACTATTGCTGCTGCTGCTGCTGTTGAATGACGAGTTCCAAGATTGAGGCATCGATGCTGCGATTGGTGGTGATTGTGAGACTCCAGCACCTGATGATGAGTTCCCCTTGACAGGTTTGCTAGAGACAGACTTTCCCATCGTTATAAATATTCGCTTTGTTGGGGAAGCAGCGATGCTGTGCCTGGCTATCTCCGCGCTATTCCGTTGGAAAACCAAAACTGAGCTGTACGACCAACAAAACAGGAAGTTAATGTCGTGATCTTCTCTCAGTAGCACGAGCGCCATTCGTCTGGACCATAATCAAAAGAGCACTTTTGTGAAGTAGCTTCAGTCCGAACGTGTCCAAAGGCAAGGAATCAGAAGATGCAGCTTACCCAACGGAAAGTAGAATCTGAAGGGAACCTTTGAAATCACCAGGAGTGTCCATCGTCAAAGACTGCCCCAGAATCAGAGTGCAATCCGCGAGCAAGGTGAGAGTACAGTAAGGTCTCTCCAGATGCGAATTATCGACACTCGGAGGTACATAATCTCCCTGCCATTGTCCAGTGTACACAAGTTGAAATGCCATACATTTGATAGATTTTTCATCAGATTGGTGTGAACTCTAAGAAGACGATAATGCGGAAGATCATGTCGAGCAAGTTGCTGCCCCGCACTCGGCAAACTTAGGAAGACAACGAAGAGTGGTGCTAGGCTGACGAACCCTGTTCTGAACTACCCCTCCACTCGCGGTAGGTTGCTGATGCTCCTGACCCTTAACTGTTGAATTGGAGTAGACAAACGAACTGGAGTAGGCTAAGAAACATCCATAAGAAGAATATTGATCATATGGAATACAGATTCTCACCTCTTCCATGATGTTAATACTGCAACTGTCTGGTCTTTTGCTAGCGGGTATTATATGCCACCGTACCAATCGTTCGATGATAGGATCTAGAAAAGTGGGCATTGGTTGCACACAATCGTCTGCATGAACGCACAATCACGAACGTCAAGCAATCACCATCGAATCTGACCTTGAACCATCGCGTTCACAACTACAATTTGTGTCAACATCCACCGTCTAGGAACTGAAATAAGTAAGACCTCAACAATAAACCCCAAATTCCGGGGAGTTCAAATGCACATGACCATTCCTATACATCTTCACTAGGCAACTGAAAATGGCTCAAGTTTCTAGAGAAGAAGGAACATAGAACCAAACGTTATGGATCGGCAAAAAATGCTTTCAAGGATTGGTTTCGTTAGATTGAGACAAGCTTCTGATGAACTTCCTGTTAGAGAAGTTGTGGCTGATGCTTCTACAGTGGATCGAACGTGCGAAGGTATGAGTCCAGAACAGAAATGTCGTCCAGCCGTGGACAAGAAGTGACTCGAGGACGCATACAGATTAAAGAACAATCTGACAAGAGTCCTTGAATCACTACGGTAGGAACATAAACCAGTGTTGTTTAGTTTACAAACAGCAGTCACTAAATATCTGCATGGCATGCTACGGAGTGGAGTTCTTCACGAATGGAGGATACCACATTTTCTGATTTGAAAAACCGAAACTTTTTCACTGCTGTGAATCCAACAACTCCACAGAATTGTCTGCCCTCATTAACTCTCTCTCCTCTGCCAAGAACCCTTTTCTCTAGTCATATACATGGAAGCTAATAAAATCATGCACGGGACACAAGTCGCGATGGAGTAGGATGGGGATTCTCCGTGATGAAAAGTGAAAGACTTGAATACATTCCTTCGGAGCGAACCTTTAGGAGATGAACGCTTCTTGTGATCCTCGAGCAAGGGTGAATTAGAATAAGACAAGTGAAGAGACTCTCTCCCCTTGCCTTTAGCCGCCTTTTTTGAAGTCACATTCGAACCACCTGAGATCAGATGAGCATAAACAAAGATGTCAGTTCATTTGAAGCAACCGCAGATGGACACGCCTAGCACAATCTGGGAACGACTAAACCATCGATGCCCTCTACAAAGCGTTCAATGTTGGAGTCCGGACACCTAAAACATCCGTACAGACATTGAACACAGACCTAGCAGATAGTGCATGAAAAGCTAAAAACTTGCCTGCAAATTCACCTCTCTTCCCAGCACGCATCTCCAATATCAGAGCTGCTAGCCTGCTACTCTCCGCTTTGTCCAATACCCTCTCATGGAGTTCGAGGCCATCTACAAAGTTGACCTTGTACAAGCAGACCCGTGTGTGCGTGTTAGGATTTCAAAAAAGAGACATCACCCTTCCGGATTATCAGAAATTATCAGAAACTTTCATCCATGTGATTTCGTTCGAATTCTCAAAGCTTCTACGGACGACTATCAGAAAGTGACGCTGATGCCAATCTGAAATTACTGTACCGGTGAGGATTCATCAACCGTCCAGACAAAACCCTTGCACGGCAGAATCGAGAATTCAGGTATGAACAGCTTGGAGTAAAACTCACAGATTTTCCATCTACTTGCTCAATACAATTGTAGGTCTTGGTGACCTTAATGTGTGCTTGTCGTCTATCCTCCTCTTCCTTGGAAACAAATCCAAACGCCCTGTCCGCCAAATTGCCTGAAAACGACCACCGTATGAACCTCTATGAGCTTGAGATCCCATTTGAAAAAGACCTCTTTGGCACAGATAAATCTTGGACCGAGTTGGGCCTGGAGTGAATGTGAGACTTTCGGTATTGAATAGTAAGGTAATGAGCTTGGGCTCCTCATTCACGCGCGAGCTAAGAAGTCGGCACCGTGAGCAATTGTATCTTGTCAAAAATGTCAACGAGCTTGAAAGTAGACTTTGTACGTGTCCATATATTTGTGGTAAAGAGCTCACACGGGAACATAGCAATCTTGTGACCAAATCATCGACTCCACCTAATCTGCCGGGACTGAACTGCCGAATTGTCGAAGTCTGTAATCGCATTCAACGTTTGCCATGGACCAAAACCAATCGCACACAGTGGCAACGAGACCTGTACAATTAGCTACCCTTCGACCCGCTGATCGATAACAGGCACCGAGCTGATAACTACAATTCAGCGTTGAGCAGAATTCTCCCGGATCCGGCCCTGCGTCAGCGGTCCAATAAAGAGGAACCATTCGACGGATGGATCGCCGATAATGGCGCAGAAGGGCCGTTCTTTACTCAAGTCGCTCCAATCGGGTTCGCGGCTATCCCGCAGCACTGCTAACAAGGCACGTGAGCGAAATAACGGCTGCATCATAAATGTTAAGAGGTTAGGCCACTGGCGTCTCAAGCTCTGCCCAGACCCTTTCTCGAAAGGTATGAGCACGCCCAAAGCCAAACGCAATGTGGACGTGAATGTGGATGTGGACTTATGCTTGAGCAATCGGACAGCTCGAGTTGCAGAATTGATTACCGGAAGCAGGTCCGCAATAATGAGGCAAGGCGTGCTAGGGCAAATCCCGCTGATGGGCGTCGGGCAATGTGGAACGGGACGACCAATTTGGAGACCGTATGGTTATTTCTATATCTGCGGCGAGTTTATCGTTGTCATAGTGTCCACCCTAAATTTGGGAGGACCTTAATGGAGCATATTGACGCGAATTAGCAAGATTAGCGGATCCGCGGGAAGAACAAAGCAAAGAGTACCTTCTGGTCGATCCAATTTGCTCGACGAGCTTTCTTCAGCGTCGGGCTGGTCACGAGATCCCTGATCCATTTCCTTGTCCTCTTTGATGTTTTGAGTCGTTTGAGAATATGCAGGGATGGATGTGGAAGAAGATTCCGACAACGACGAAACACTCCTCGAACCACTTCCGGAAGGACCCTGTTCTCTGAGATCTGCCTGATCTCTGTTGGCGTATACAACATTCTCCAGGCTAGACGCGAGCGTTTGCTGCCTCTCCTGATCGCCTGAATCAGCTCTCCTCCTATCGCTCTGCTCCTCGGATTTGTTCCGGGGCGCATCTATAATGTCCCTCCTAGTGTAAAGGTCCTCGGAGACGGAGCTATGCTGCTGTTGCTGCTGCTGCTGCGGCGCCGGCACGCAAGCAGCTCCTGGCATCATAGCGTCTGCTCTGGGGTCTCTGTAGACGTGGTGTCCTCCTCCATTCTCCGAAGATCCGAAGGGCATTGGCAACGGGGACTGATCGGAATTGAGAGTATGCTTCATCCACACGACTTGCTGGAGTGCGAAGACGACCTCAGCTACGGAGAAGTACTGCTGCATGTGAAGGACGACTGTCCAGTTGAACCTTCTTTGCTGGATACAAGTGAGGACGAAGTCATATTCGCCAGGCTTCCCGACCATCTGCAAATGGTGACACAATGTATCGATGATAGCATTAGCAGCGGCAAATTCCCCTTTGAGCCAGTGGATAAACGCATCGCGCTCGTCAGGCCAAAGTCTTTGCTGTGAGTCCGGCAGAGGGCCCGGCATTCCCCCAATTCGGTTATCGCCTGGTATGTTCGGAGCTTGGTTTGTCAGATCTGAGGATGCCATGAGTCCTGAAAATCTTTGTGAAGCTGTCTCTTTCAGCCAGCATCCGGTCGACGTTTCATGAGCCGAAATGCGGCCACGGAAGAAAAATCACTAATTTCCGACCACGCCCCGACAGAGCCACCGCTCGACCGACCGAGCAAGCACGAACCTCCAGATGTTGGCGTTTTATTGAAGTCGTGCGCAGATTGTCGTTCCCCCTCTTCCTCCTCCTCCTGCTGTACCTAATTGCCAATCCAGACTCGACTGATCTCGATGCGCGCACTGCTCTCGGACTTCGCCAATCACAACGTCTTGTCACTCAAGGCGTTGATGGACAAAAGCTCTACAGTGACCGCTATGCGACCACGAGGTCCGCCTGGCCTCGCTGGCTTCTGCTTGACGAGGTCCCCACGGTGATGACGACAAGCGAGTGATTGGATCATGAACAACCACAACAACAAGAACAACAACGAACTCGTACCCTGTTTTCCCTTCCCTGTCTGTCTGTCTGTCTGTCTGGGGGCTTGTCAGGTCCTTGCGCTTGAACCAGGCTCTTTCGAAAACTGCTCAATCTATGGCAAATGGACAATGTGCGGCGAGATGACTGCGGGTGTTAATCGGGGGCAAGATCCTCATACGGAAGTGACCGATGATGGGTTCAGAAGTGCCGGTTCCCGCGAAAGCACTTGCTCACTCTGCATCACGTCGTCTAAGGTTTCTGATCTTGGTGGCTGATAGAATGGTCGCGAGGTTGACAGAGGTAGGTCTCATCAGCACCGGCTGTCCAATTACGGCATCCGAATGCTGGAGCCGCTGCCGATTCCCTTCACGAGTCAGCTGCTGATTATGCACCACCAGCTTTTCATCTCAGAGCAGGCTACCCGAGGGACTTGTCTCACTGCTGCTGCTGCTGCTCCCGCGGAAGAAGATGACGTAGATGCGAAGTTGTAGCACTGACTCAACCATCACAAGAAGCGTGACACTATCAGCGGCTCATGATTGTCCCCTAAACTGGATCTCGGGGGAGCATTGTGCAACGATCACATATCCCATGAACGAAGCGAAGCCCGCGGATTTCGACTGTAGCTCGCTGAGCATAGACACAATGCGACTCGCTTATCTCGTATCGTGATGTAAACTTCCGGTCATAAGCAAAAGAATTCCTAAACCATGATTATCGATCAAATCAGCCAGAGCTCTTGAGGCGCACTCACTCGAGTGGGTGCCCTGCTTCTCTGTACCAACAACGCTCGCGCTCTCTCCCTCTCCTTCTTCCTCCCTACTCACACCATCCCTCCCTCACGGTGGTACGTCCCTCTCGCCCAAAAAAACCTCCCGGACACTCCACGAAAACTACTTTCTACTGATCAATCTCCGGACCAACCCCTAGCCTTCGACCCTCGTTACTGGGTCGCTCTGTCTCTGCCTCTCCCTCCCTCCCTCTCGCTGCCTGCGTGCTCTTGCTTTGCTGTGACAGTCAGTCGCTCCCGGGGATAACTGAAGAGGAAAAAGTGGGTTGAATATTTTAAGGACAACCGAAAAAGCTCGTGAGATTATAATTCCACTCCGATCTGATACGTCTTCTCTCTCCTACCCTCTGCTCACTCCGCACTGAAGTTAAATCTCTTCTCTTGTGTCCGTGTCCAACGATATACGCAACCCCTTGAGAAGCATCTTCTCATCAAACTTCGACAAACCCACTCCCTCTCTCTCTCTCCTGCTCAACTCCCTACCTCCCTCATTGTCTCTCACAGACAGCTCTCTCTCTCTCTCTCTCTCTCTCTCTCTCTCTCCAGTTCTGCTAAGCGCTGCTGCTGCTGCCGCTCGTCCTGCCGATGACACAGAAAATAGAGAACGCAAAGCGAGCTTTGGCATGGCCCCTCGTCTTCCTTGCTTTCCGTGAGTCCGTGACTCTCTCACTCCTCCTTCCTTCCTTCCTTCCTTCGCCACAGTACGCGTCTCCGCTGCACTGCGACTGCGACTACGACGCAGTTAAGTCCACTTACTTGCACTTGCACTTGCTCTTGCTCTTGCTCTTGGACTGCACCTCACTTCACTCCAACCAGCGCTGACGCTCCGCAACTTACCCGGTGTGGGGAGGGAGCGCTAGGCTCGGACTTGAGAACACGGAGACGGACAGGAGCCGACGGACGAAATACGACAGAGAGGAGGGAATGACCGGCGAGCCTCGTCAGCCGGTGAAGTGGCGGAGAACGAGTGTCATGTGACTGCTGCGACTGGAGTTTCTCTAAGTTCTCGGGACCCGGAAGACGGACCTCCTCAAGACACCCCCGAAGGTCGCAGAGTCCACGTGGACGGCACCGATCGGGGCCGTGGGTCAAGATTGCCGCCTGCCTTGAGTAACGTCAGCGTGCCCACCAACCGGGGACGGCCGATGTCCATCAAAGGGTACCTGTGTGAGACGCCCTCGGGCTTTTGGCGACCTTTCCGCTCCCCTCCGTTTCGGGAAGGTCCGGTTCCCGTCTCGAAGCCGGTTCCCGGTCGCGTTCTCGGGGCTTTCTGTCGGTGAACGGGGGAACGCAGTTTTGTTCGTCTGGCAATAATTAGGACAACGCGTGCGCCCTTGGACCTTCGAGACAGGCCCTGGCTCCTTCCTTTCTTAAATTAACTCAGCCTCCAGCGGCGTCCCAACTTTCCCGGCCCCGACTCCCGTCCTCGTCCTGTCCGTTAATACTTAAGTGCTCCATGGCAGGCAGCATCATCACCCCATCTCATCGCCCCGCATCGCCATCGCATGGTCAGGGCTCATGCATCATGACTTGCCGATTCGACATGACATAACCTGTGCTGAAGTCGTTGCCCGTGCGGCCCCCGGCATACCACCAGCGGTCCGAACTCAGCCCATGACCCGCTAATTCATAATTAAAAATCATAAAGCGGCATGATTAAGAGGCCTATTAGTCCACAGATGATCAAGTCAATTCCACAACGTGGCGGGTTCTGAATGGGCGACTTCACGCGATCGCCAATCATCTCTGATGCGCGCGAGGGGCCTTTAGGCTTTAGGGCATATTGGCTCGAATGTCGAAACCCTAATGGCGAGAAGCAGAAGAAGAAGTTCAGAAAGTGTCTGCGGGGTCTGGATAGAAAGTGGAAAACTCGAAAAGTATATGTTTAATCATGGAACGAAAAGGGCACACGGGTGGAGTTTAATCGAGCTCAGCAGCCTCCTCGGCCTTGTCCTCGTCCTCCTGCCGAAATAAGTCGTCACGCGATTGAGCTGTGATGTGTTTTACCTTTTCCACCTTCCGGCTATTTCCTCACTGCATTACACTCTTCTTGGATCTTAGGTGGTGTAGCTTAACTTGGTACAACAGGGATTCGACACATCCTTCTTGAGATTACGTTGATAATCGCGGCAATATTCTTCGGCATGCCACTGACACGTTGTCAATGAGCGTTTGTTCACGCCTTATTTCTGTCTTTCGAGCATTTCTACGATTATATTTTTCTGTTAGTCGCAGTTTCCAGGTTGTAATGAGACTGTCCAGTCTCCGCGTTCGCCCGTCAAGATTGTAATCTTTTGGCTGAGACACCAGCTCATTCAGAGCTCGGAGTTTGCAAATGGTTCCGAACCTGGCATTTGTGTGAGAAGTGTCGCAAAGTCAATGTGAGGAGAATTTTTTCGCGTTCACATTCCCCGCCTGTTTCATAGAGTCTACGTTCCTCCGAAGCTTTGGAAAACCATCCCTTTCCTTTCTTACTCCGCCGACTTGTCGATGCTCTAGTTTTCAAGCAAGGTAAAGGTGCAAATGACAATCCTTGGACGTTTTACGCCGTTTAAGTGACAGCTGCGGGTTAGTTAGTCTGAACTTGGACGGGAGCTTCCTGAGCATGGGTAACTCCCTGTTAAATCCGGTTGGCTAACTGGAACGTCCTTGGAGATTGTCTCATAGAGTTGATGAATCCTATTTAATCAATAACCGCATTTGCTTAATGAAAGTTTAAAAAGGGAAAAGATCCACACAACCTGTTCAATGAGAACTTTAGGAATTTGGCCATACGGTTACTCCTTCCTCCATACCTTCAAGTTTGAAAACCCAATGTTCACCTGTCGAGAGTGTCAATTTGAGTAAGTCGTGGAATCTTCGTGGTTTCCGTCCTAGTTCTTTCATTCCTAAACATGCCATTCAATCATAAAGTCTCCAAGTATTGTTGGGAAGAATTAGTAACATTCATTTCAAGTGCCATAATATTATGTATATTGTATTCTGATTATTGGAGAGAGAGAGAGAGAGAGAGAAAGCATTTATTTTATCATGTTTGCTTATGGCTGTGCTCCAAATCACTTATCAAAGCCAGACGTTATGACCTCACCGTGTTTGCTACTGGGCGGTTGCAAAGCCTGTTTAGATTGTTCAACTCCAATGTGCTCTTTTCTATCGATTCTTCCGTTATCTAATTCCTCTCGATTCGAACAGTGTTGAGTTCTTTTCAGTATCTCACATCTGCATCTGCTTTTAATGAGATTGATCACTCATTCATTACTATACTAGAAAAGGAATAATGAAAATGTATAGCACTTTTTCCTATAACACAAGGGCGACATATTTCACCTAGAGATTTCTCGTCTCTTAAGAGTGGGTCTTGTACAAGTAGTAGACATTCCTCCGACATGCGATACAATGCGACATTTGACCACACATGAATTCATCTTCTTCATTGACATATAATATTAGCGTATCACAGTTTGGGGTTTTGCGCAATTCTGCGCTCCGAAATGCCATGTCTCATATCATAATCACTTTGTATTCAAACCGATACATAGAACCGATCGCATGTCGAGGTTTATTATCCGAGCTTCTTAGTAAGTGACACCAAAGCAAATCTCAATTATGTCTATAAGATCCCAGAGCCACTATACTGCTTGCAGCGACGATGAAACCACACAACAAATTTTGTGCGTTGTACTCCTACAACTGCATTCACATCCTGACCTTTGAATTTTTCAGTCATTTCCATCGTTAAATAGATGAGCAGCGTGGACGACTCGGCATGACTTGAAAACATTTTTGACCCTTCGGATGTCCTACAAATGCTTTCACGCCTTGAACTTTGATATCTTTCGTGATTTCCGTTATCAGCTGGATGAGGAGCTTGGACAACAATGACTGGTCATCGAGTGAAAATATATTTGACCCTTGAGACCTTTAGTCGTTTCTGTCAGCTCGATGAGTAGCTTGGACAACAGCTACTCGACATGATCTATCACTATCTTGACGAACTTAACATAATCAGCTGTTTTTTATGGCCTTTCTATGTTCTTATGTCTTTGGTATTCTTTAGAAGGCCTCACCAGCCTTTGTCTCCATATCCCGTAGGAGTGCTTCAACAAATCTACCAGATGTTTTATACGAAGATATGTTAGGAACAACATTCATTCTTTAACAAAAGGATTTATTTGTATGCAGGTCTAATCATAGATTCTTTTATTTTCTCTTTGTTTTTTAAAAATTGTTATGATGATAACATTCTTGCAAACACTTATAGCCTCTCCACAGCCCGTTTTTTAATACTTGTGGCTTTCATCTGTGACGCTAATTTCGACTCTGCTCATTACGAGAGGTTATTCAAGCCCATACCTTCTTCAAATCGTATCACTACGTGACAACGCAAATTATTTCAAAAACCTTCGAGATGAGAATAAGGAAAACACCGAGCGAGTACAAAACGAGCAAGCTGTACATCTGTGAACTAGATTCAGGAATCACTTGAACAAGGTCCAGGGGTATTGCTCTACCTATGACCTCATCAAACTCCAGAAAGGGTGCAGTAGTGGCTGGACCAACGGTTCCCATGGAAGAAAAAGCCAATCTAAGTCCTACCTCATATTGGTGGAATGATCGATGATGTCAACTGTAGGTAAGCTTTGAACTGATGGATCTGGACGATATTTTCAACCATAACCGTAACTGTAGTGCCCATAAGACGGCTAGACCAGATCTCAGAGTCTCTTTGACTACCATAAAGGCCAGTCACAAATTTAGGCTCTATAGGAACTATACATGCCAAAGATGTCGACTACAGATGTACCGATGGCGTGTAGCTCTCGTCAGTGACTGCGAAGCCATTTCATAGGGTTCTTAGATACTCCACTTTCATCATATTTTTCGGGATCATTAAATACGACCATCATCTTACCGTAAGCACGGGTTACAAAATTTAATAGCTTCATGAAAACAATTTCTTTCTACAATTTTGGGAGATTTTGCCTTCAGTTCGGGAGCTGCTAAAACTATGCATTGATAGTTGATTAGTTATAAATTTCAGATATTATATTTCGTTCCGATGTTTCCTTCGCTACTTTGTCCTTATTACTTTTCCTTTGAGTTTTGATAACCTCAATGTAAGTCATGGTCAAATATTAGTATCACTTAAGTCTCACACTTATACTAAGAGCTGAAACCTGTTCTATGCTGGCTTCATGTTATCTATTTTTTTCCATCCTGCACACTATTCCTCCAACCATGCATGCCTGTTCTTTCATTCAAAGACTTCGAGAGCTCAGAGGAGTTGGAAGGACAACTAAATTCTTGCAGAAATACAATACAATGATCTGGATTGCCTTCTGGGACGAACGGACACGTCTATCTGTGTTTAAAATTTTGAGTTGTTTATCATTATATATCAATCAACTATATTGTTTCAACTGTTTAATGTTTACTGTTTGAATAATGTTACTTGAATACTTGAGAGGAGTGTACAAGAAGAAAGTCTGTTGTAACTTTGAACTATGAAGAGTACGTAGATTCGAAGACTCTTCATACTGACCTTCATCGAGTTCTTTTACAGTCCTATAGATCCTACTGTGA